TGCTATATGTTATGGAAGCCAAGCTTCATGCGCTGAGTTTTGGGATTATTATTATTATTTTTTTTTACAGTCATCCTGCAAACCAGGGCAAGTGTGCATTTTCATCAGAAACATGGTCTGAAGAGGACAAGAATGAGACATTAACAGTTACTATTTTTCCATATAGCTCCAAAGTCGCAGATAGGAACATCAGGAGGTCTCAATGCTAAATGAACTATTGAAAACAAGCATCCTACTTTCTTTTCAAACCTTTCTTACTGCAACCCTGATTCAGATTGCACTTATCATGGTGACCGCTGCAGCTTTGGCATAAAAGTTCTTTCTGATCTGCAGTATTTGGATGGACTTATCCATTTTATTAAGTCAGATATGGTCAGAGGTGTGAAATAACTGGTAAATATTTTAAGTTACTGTACTTAGGTAGCTTTTTTAGTGTCTGTACTCAATTTTATTATTTATTTCTCTGAGGAGATTTTACTTTTACCTTTACTCACTAAACCAAACCTTGTCATGTATGAGTGCTACGAGAACAAGCAGAAAAGTGTTGCAGTTCTGTATTGTGGGCACAGGGTATCATTAGAAAACTCTGCAATGTCCATATAAGCTCTAATGCTTCCTGCATGGATTATAATAAAGCTATTTACATGCATAAATCAAGCGGAGCACTATGGCAATAGCCGTACTGCTCCACTTGTGAAAGTAAAATTTGTTGGGCTCTTTTTGGCATCAAGACAATTATTCTTATTGCCACATTGCCAGACAGGACACTGTTAAAAAAAAAAAAATCATTGTAAATCTATTTATCAAATACATCAGATATAGCCAGTTTGCTTTAAGGACATGCTTTTTCTTGTATCTCATGTAATTAAAATCAGTTGAACTCCAGAGATGTCGTAGTGCATTTACTTTCCTTTTGAAAAGCAGATAATCACGTTCTGTTTTCTTTATAAAAACAAAGAAACTCTTTCGTGTATTTTAAGGAAAAAGCAATGCAACAACTTACATTCATACAGGTATGCTTAGGCTTTTCTATACCTTCTAAAACCCGCAGATGTGGTGACTCAAAACCTAATCAGGAACCCAAAAAAAAAACAGCCCCCATCACTGAAGCACCACACCCTCCTGCTCTGACCGATGCAGGCTGCTAACAAGTCATACATCCCTTTCATCTTCAGGCCCTGGGCTGTGGGGATGGGGAAAGCTTTTGGATTTTGGGAGGAAAACACCTTCTGTGTGTGTCAGTGTGTGTGTATGGATCGTCGGAGGCTCAGGCACATTGACTTTCCTCTGCTGACAGTCATGAAATATGTATAGACACCATGACTCCTGCACCCATAATTGATCAGGGTTAGCGTTAACCATCCCAGTTCGGCTGCACCTGCGAACCCTATCCCCACCCCCATTCACCATCCCAGCCCCCACCTTTAACGAGCTGTAACGATCACACAGACAGAGAAAGGGGGAAGGAGATGAAGGGGGGCAGACACACCCAACAGTTCAGTGACAGCCACAGTAATTATTTTCCTGTCAGCTGTACACTTCTGTCATTAGCATACGGTTTGGGCTGATTTTCTAGCAGCCTGAATGCACAAGTAAATATTAAGTACGCTATTAACTTCATGACAGCATCGATGATGCTAAAAATAAATGAATGTTGGTTTATTTCTGCAGCTGTACTATTCTTCAGCTCAGGTTTTTGTTTAGGAGCTTTGAGGCAAACAGTGAGAACTGACACAAAAATTTTTTTAATTCTGGATAAATGTTAATCACCTTACAGTTTTTACTCTTGACTGATTTTAAATTAAACAGAGATTAATCCAGAAAAGCATAGAATATTTACAGCCACATAAAAGAGGGTAAGGAAAAAAAAAAAAAACGCAATATAAAGCAACAAACCCCAACTCCTATTGTGCTTCTTAAAGTGAGTCAAACAATGACAGATTTTTTTAATTTAAATGTTAACTTGAAGAATCTCTGACTGTAGTTCAGATAAATTTCCCTGTACAGAAACCAAGCAGTTTTGCACACCAAGAAAGATTCTGCAAAAGAAAAATAAATGATCAGTGAAGTTCGCATATCAGTAATTTCTCTTTGACTTAACCTGCATGCTCATCAAATGTGTGTGCAGGAACGGTTAGTGCGGGCTGCACACTGTCGGGATCAGGTGGGGGTTGCGGTTGTCCAAACAGGAGGATCCAGTCCGGTTTTTCCATAAATTTTTAAACCGACTTTTCATATTTGCAGCAGAAGCAAAATAAGTATTTAACGTGTCTTATGTGTAGGATGTGAAACAAAAGGTAATGAATTGAGTTGCCTTTAATGTTCAAAAAACATCATGGCTAGAGAGCTAGAAAATATTCAGAAGTCCAATCGAATCGTGATCTGTTTATTCTGTAAATAAGCAATTCCTCATGTTTGTGGAGTGTGTATTCATTTATATTCAGCTGAATCAGGGAGTTGCCTCTAATGTAGCAGTGTGTGGAGAGGTGTAGGGATAGGGCAGCGGGGGATGGTATCAAAAGCTTTGAGTGCAACACGTTTGGACAGCTGCTGAAAGAACATTGATTAAGGGAGGAATTATTAAACCCAAAAGAGTCAGAAAAATCGGTTTGTCTCAATTTTTAAAGCTTTTATTAGGTTTTAACAATTATAACTGTATTGAAACAGTGGAAAGCCGTACCTGTCAACATTAAATACATTTTCATTTCAATAAATTATTAATGAATATTTCTTCATAAAATAAATGCTCTCCATGAGCCCAAACACTGACATAGGAATAAAATAACTGAAATATAATGCACTAATTCCTCCACAAAGTACTTTTTTGTGGCTACAAATAGTCATGATGGACGACCGACCCCAAAAATAATCTTTCCAAATAGGTCACCTTGTCACACAGTTAAAGCAACAGAGAAATGATGAGCTGCAACTAAAGTAAGACAACCCTGGCATTGCAAGGAATTCCCATGTAAATAGAAAGGATTTTAAATTGAATAAAGAGAAAAACGCAGAGTGACAAGATGTTAGTGCAAGACTGTGGTAGATTTTTCACTTCCAGCCCAGTGTGCCTCAAATACATAAAACAAAAGTATCCCAAATATCCCCAGCTGCAGGCATGCTCGAACTGAGGGCTTGCTGTAGAGCCAATTAAAAATTAGCGGGGACCGAATAAAGAAAATCGACAACCAGTAAAGGTCCGGAGACACTTTTAAATATAATCTGTTTCTTTAAACAGAATTTAACACTGAAATAAAATGAGGTGTTTATGCATCCATGTTATACATTGTATATATATATATATATATATATATATATATATATAAATAAAAAGTTTTTCCATTTTAAAATCTAAAGTGTTTTTTGAAGTAGAGAACAACAATCATTCAGTTTGGTACATAGACAATTTCCTGATTCACATATTTTATCTGATAGTTTTTTTTTTCTTCTATTCTCTGGCTTAATGACTGCAACACTTTAAACCTGGGTTTGAATGGAGACAAAGCCATTCTCATGCAATGAGTGCAGGTGCTCATTGGTGAGCCTGGGTTGATATTTTTTTTTGATTATGGTCATGGTGGAGAATCCCACTTCACAGCAGGAGGTTGAGCCAAAATGTGCAGGGTCATCTTTGAGCACGCCATTGCACATTTCTGTCACCAGTTCACCACAGCTCTTCCAGCAGTCCACACTTTTTTTCACGTTTTCTCACCATCGTTACCCACCACCCAGCTAGCGGCAACAGCCCTGACTGACACAACGCAGTGGCTAATATGCATCACTTGTAGCCTGGTCCCGGAGGGCTTTACTGTACAAACAGGAGAAGCAGCGCAAGTGAAATTAGACACTGCTGTCGGACAACATGAGGTAATTTATAAATGTTTTAAATCAGGTTGGGTCTGGTTTAGCCAGCAGGTGGGTCCAGATCCGGACCACTGTCCACTAATCCATGACCTCTAATATAGAGTCATCGACACAATGCAAACGGATACTTTCTCCACATGCTCATCCAGGAGGAGTGATTCCTGAAAAGTCAATGAGTTTTTGCAATCAGTTGATTTTTTATAAATGCAGTTTTGAACCACTGGATGATCTGACTGAACTGATTCTGTAAAGTGCATTGGGGGAAAACAAGTGTGTTGTTAAATCGCATTGTATAGATAAACTGGTTCTAAATGAAATTATATTTAAATATGTAAAGTTTCAAAATTAGAGTCAGTTTTGGAAGCAGATGATACATTTTTTTTCTGCACAGGATGTGCTTTTTAAAATAATATCACTCCAGAAATGATAAAACTAAAACAACTGTTTTGACAAAAAAAAAAGGTCATTGAATCCGGAGAAAACTTAGCTCATGTTATTTGAAAAACGATGAAGGCAGTATAGAAATGAAAGTCAAAATAAATGGGGTAGATGTGGAACGAGTAAATGAGGTGTGATTATTGATTAGGAGATCTGCTGGAAGCCTCACATCAGACGTGTTTAGCCTAAACTATCTGGAATCATGGCAATGCTTAGTAAAACAAAACCATTTCTGATATTCTAAAGTTTTACAAATTCTCTGCTGTTTGCTGATTTTAAACTTTCCTTACCTGTTGCATATAAATCTGGAGGAATACCTACAGGAAATTACGACCAATGAGGATCATTCATAAGACTGGCTATTATCACCAAACTAAGTTAATATTATTTCATTATTGCTTGCTTAAAACCTAGTAAAGATTAAAACCTTACGATTAATAAATTGTATAATAAATAAACAGCTAATAAAAGGCATTCAACATTTTGTTTTCTTGCTGACAGAGAGAGAGGGTATAATTACAGAGATAATCAAAATGTCAAAATCTTTTGCATCCGAACATGAAAAGAATGTGCATTTCAATAAGTGGTTTGAAAGTATGAAACAATTGTTGAACTAAATCAATGGCCAAGCATGAGGCGCTTTAGGAAAAAAGCTCAAACTGTCAAGCTCAGAACTGTAGGATCCAGTATTCAAAGCAGACAGATAGATTTCTCAAAACGTTTATTAGAAACAGAACTGCAGTGAGCAGCGTTGACGTCTAAGGCAGGAACTTCTGCAGGAGGAGACGACAGATTAGTGACCAAATCTTTCTGGATGTGGATGATAATGAACGTGCGAGTCACTAACCTGGTCTTATAGTTCAGTCCGAGCCCAGAAGGTGAGGTTGGTTCCAGCCGGTTGGGGGCCAACACAACACAGCGGGGGCCGCCCAGAGAGTCCCAGATGCTGATGTTTTGTGGTCAGAGGACAGACAGGTCAGAGGACAGACAGGACTCCCAAGAATGTCTTAGACATTCTTGGGAGTCAGAGCCAGGAGATCAGACGTCTGAAGAGGTGTTGAGGGGGAATCCAAAACGGAGTCAGGAAACAGTTCTAGGTTCTGTACACAGACAGGCAGAGATTCAACAGGAGTCAGAGGAGAGGTCAGGCAAACAGATCAGAACAAGGACAGGCAGGCTCAAAGGTCCAGAGGCAGAAGGGGCCAGTTTCAGGCATTCAGAAACACAGGAATGCTCCAAAACTTCTCACCACTGGCTTGAAATATTCTGGCCCTGATGACTGGTCTGAGAGGGCTGGTTAAATAGAGACTGAAGCAGGTGGATCACATGAGTGGTAATGAGAATTGGGAGCTAAACAGGTGTGTGAAGTGAGTAATCCGACCAGACATCAGTACGAAGACACATCGCTTGGGAAGGGAGGCTAGGGCACACCCAGAGGACATCTTAACCAGGGGAAACACTTCAGGAATCACAATAAAACAAATTAAAATAAACCTGTATAAGCAGTGAATAATGGATAGATAAACAAAAGTAGATGAAATCTAACCATTAAGCTATCAAATTTGACCCAATATGTGGTACCAAATCAACATTTATCGAGTCAGGAAAAACTTTAGAAAAGCATTAGAGGTCCAAAGGTTTCGCCAAAGACCAGTCACTGTGAAACCTCTTGCTCTTCATAATGGTAAATGGCAGTTATCTGTAGAGCCCTTTAAAACAACATCAATCAGTTTTCAGCCCCAATACAAGTCTCCTCTGGCACTGAACCATCTGCTCTCTGACAATGCAGCACTCGGTTGTGTGTTTAGCAAAGTAATCTACTGAGTGAGTCTTTCAGATGTTGTGCTGCACTTCAGTGCTGTCTGATTGCAAACTGATTACTTGCTCAGTTTTTCCGACTCCTTTTGTTTATTAGTATTCCAGAGATTAGAGGCCATCTCCATGTGCATCCAGTCTTCTCATTTGAGCACTTCAGCCGTGAAATAGAAATTATTAAAAGACTGATGGCTGCATACAAATTGCGGGCTTTTTGATGACAAATGGGGTAAAGCTATTAGAGATAAGTTCAGTTTTATCCTCATGAAGAAGGTGATGCTGAAAATAATTAGGTGGCAAAATATGAGCAGCAGATAAATTGAATTTAAAATGGCGGTGTCCCTTTCCTTTTTGTGTGTAGGTGCAAAACCATGCAGGAAAGGCACGTAGACTTCCAGTGGCAGAGAAGTGACGAAAATACTGGGTAACTGGAGGCTAGATATGCTTAAGTCTGCCAATATAGTGATGAAATAATAAAAAACAACAACAAAAACACTTCTATAATGATAAAGGATGCATCCCGAACTGGAGTAGCACACAGTTTTCACGGCCTAATCACCAGCAGTAAGAGATGCAGCACATTACAAACTTTAGATTTCTCGAACTGCACACCTCAGAGGACCTGGACTGGACTGTAAACATCACTGAAATTATACAAAGAAAAAATGCCCACCAGCATTTTTTCTTCCTGAAAAACTGAGGAGAAAAAAATCTCAAACACCTCTGCTGAAAATATTTGCCTTGGCAAAATAGAGCAAAATAGAGACTATCCGGGCCTATCCATCAAAAAGCATCTGCATTGGGTCATCAGGATTGCTCATTGGCTCCCAACTACCAAGCCTAGAGGGGATCTACTGTGGGCATTGGTATTAAAGAGTCACTAAGACCCAATGGCGTAACGACACAACTATAGGCCCGTAAGCAACATTATCTGGGTGGGCCCACACCCGGAAAAATAGTGACCGATAACCTTGAATGGAACCATTGGTGACAGCGCACCACCACATGTGACAGACATCCCTAGTGCTCATCTCCAGGTCACAGTCTTTCCTCACTGTAGCAGCAACGTCCTCCTCTCCCTCTTCGGTTCTTTGAAAGAACGTGTTTATTTTGGGATGTTTTTTTCTGTTCTTCCTGCAGCTCTTCTTTCTTTTTTCTTTTCTGGAATCCGCCTAAGTACCTCTTTTTGGTATCCATCTTTACTTACACATACTGTAGTACGTAACGGTTATGGTTTTAATCTACGCAGTGGATTACCCATAATTCCAAGTCATAGTGTAAAAAACAAAATAATCAAATACATCGTTCTTTAAAGATCTTTATTGCACTTTGAAACATATGAGTGTATTTTTTACCAACCGTCTAATGAACTATACACAGTTATTAACGTATTAAAAGTACCACCGTCTGCTTTTCTATTGTGTCATGTTTAAACGGCTCACCATCATGTTGAAATCTGCCATGTGTTGAGATACAAATACGGTCAGTGCAGTCAGTCTCTTCAGTATCAGGTGGGTTTAAGAGGAATTTTTCGTACCATTACGTCTGCAAAGAGACGTCCTAGTAGACAATTGCATAGGGGGCCAACCAGATGTCAGTGATGGGGCCCCTAAGAGATTGTTGGCCCGTAAGCAATTGCTGTCTCTACTTACCGATATTTACACCATTGCTAAGATCCAGGATGACTCAGAACCAACCAGGACTCTTTTCATCAGCCTCCCTTCTGGCAGTCTTAGCATCTCTAAAACCACACCACCCGGCTGTACTGTACTCATATTAAACAAATTAATTATTTCACAGTTAATTTAGTGAACAGTTATTTTTAACTCTACCTAACTGGCATTTGGCGTTTGAAAGGAGATGGTGAAAAAAAAATGTCATTGTATTCTTTATTTGAATGAAAATCCTCTGAGTTGGTCCGTGTTAACATTGTAACAGTAAAAATAAACAAGCAGAATGGGAATATAGGCAGAAGCAGAAACTCTTTATATCTGATATTGATTTCTGGAACTTTGCCATGAACTGCAGTGCTTAGTTTTAAACAAAATTAAAGCAAAATCAAAACTTCAGAGATATAAAGGCCCTAAATGACAGGTCATTGTTTTGCATTAATTAAACAATAAAACAGAGAGAGAATATATGCAGAATAAAAGCTAGAAAAAAAAAACAAGATAAAAGCATGTAAAACAGTTGGATCACAACCTTAAACTAATAACACCTCAGTGAAGAGTTTAACTCCAACAGTCAGAGGCAGCTCTAAACAAACAAGATTTAAACTTTAACTTCAAAGAGATAAGTAAATATGTTTACAACTTTAATACCGTCTTACATTTAAGCTTTGATAGAGCTCACTTTTATCTCTCTATGTTTTTGTTTTACAGGTACTTTTTAGGCAACTTTAATTCCTCATCAGAGTTTTTCCAAATGCTTCTTTGTTTGTTTATTCTTCTTGACCATTTCTTTTTTCTGCTGTGTAACAATTTTTAAATCTCTTCTATCTACTTGTCAGTACTGATTTTCCCCATTCTGGGACAATAGATTGATTTTCTTATCTTCTTTAAACAAACTATTTATTTATATTTAGTAAACATGTAGCGCAGTACTGAGTTTCATTGAATTGCAAAACATTTGGAAGTTCAATTTTATTTGTATTTCATAAATTGGACCATGGGTTTCTGAAACCCTTTACAATTCTTCAGATGTCTGGTTTGCATATAAACCATATTAGTTGCGTGTTACGCAAAACTTAATCAGCTATCACGGCACCTTGGCAAAACGAAAAAATAAACCCAGAGAAGTTCTTGAGTGGGAGGTTTCCTAAGCACTAAACATAAAAATGCACTTGTAGATTTTAAACAACTTTCAATCAAATAATTTAACTTTAGTTAAAGAAACATTGTGTAACATTTTATCCAAATATTAGCTCATTTTAAAGGATTTTTTCAGGTCAATTTCCAGCACTTAATGTCTATTGATGCTCCATGCGGACTACCCTTCTCAAAAACTCACCTAAGTAACTGAAAAGGGTTCGAGAAATCATAATAGACCCAAAGCGGCGCTTTATGGCAGTCTGAGCCCAACTTTAAACACAACAGATAACTAAACTAAAAGATGTTGTTGGTAACAAAACAGATATGAAACATACCTGATAAGATTTTTTTGGTGGTTCTCTGATGTAAGATATGATCTTGAGAGATGAATGTTTCCTGGCCTTTGTCAGTATCTCCATGATGTTTCAGTCTGCTGGTGCAAAGTGGTGTGATATCAGGTTCCAAAACACAGGGTAAATGCAGCGTTGCTAGATGCTTTAAGGGTGCCTAAATCTGAAACTTAAAGGTCTAACATTCCTGCATATATGAATTAGCATTGCCAAAATAAAAATGAAAACATCTCCTCCCGGTTGATTTCTAACAGATTTCATATACAAATGTTGTCTAGTCGAAAACCATGTTCACTCCTTCAACACAAAGCACTTATATATAACCCAGCTCTATCCATCGATCTATTTCCCAGCTGTCAATGGGCGAGAATCGGGGTACACCCTGAACAGGTGACCAGTCTGTCACAGGGCAATAACTGGGCTCCCTCTTCTTTTATTCATAATAGGTTGCTGGTCTGATGAGGAGGGTCTTAAGCCAAAAATCATATCAGCACATCATCCAAGGTTATTACCATTACTTGATATCCATAATATACTAGTTGCAAATAATTGAGCTGTAAAATAAAAAAAATCTGCTGTCTCCAACAACATCATAATAACTCATTTATAACACTGTAGGCAGCAACATCTTAATGTATAAAGTCTTTTATTAGAGAATTTCTTTGATTTTATATAGTATTTGAAATGTTTTGTTTGATTTTTTTTGTAATATATCATTAGTTTTTTGTCTAAGTAAACATTATTTATGTTAAGACTGACCATATCTTTTATTGGCCTAATTTCTAAGAACTTTTAGCCACTAGGGGCGCTACATCTGTAATGTTCACGTCTAGCGCCCGTACTGTAGTAGCTTTACTTGTAGTCGTCTAGCTTTCTCTGTCTCAATGTTTCTACTAAACATTGAAAATAATAAAGATGTATGACTGTATACTAGGAGCAAAGTGTTAACTTGCCAGTCTGATAATAAAGTTGAGAAAAGAGAATCAGTTTTACATCCAGCTTCTTCTTTCAGCCTGCAAACTCCTTTCCAAGATCGATTCTTGTTTTTCCTCAGGCACATCTCTTTCTCGTTTTCTCTTTTTAGCCTCCTCAGAAGATTTAAACATTATCCTTTTCTTAGCCATGACCAGTAGTCGAACAGGCAGAAAAATAGTAGAGCAAAAGCCTTAGCAGCATGCTTATATAAGAGCCTGTGGCCATAAAGTGATACGTTCTTTCAGGTCATATGACCTGGCCAATGACGGTGCATCATTTCCCAACTGACATAGGTGGTATTTCAGGAGGGGAGTCCTGCTCTTAGCATTGATAGTGTCAAGGGCTGTATATTGGCCTTTAAAATAACTCATATGCATCAACTCTTTAGGTCACAAAGTGTAGGTTTAAAACATGCTTTTTATTTTAATTTTCTCACACAATTTCTGTACATACCATTTCCCAAAATGAGATGAACAAACTACCCAAAACAACAGATTCTGGAACAAATTTGAAGTGGGAATGTCTCTTGATGAATCTTTTCAGGATGTCTGAACCGACTGAGCTCTTTAAAAAATGGCTGAATGTTATTTTGTTACAAATGATTGACCAGTTTTGCTTTGTCAATACTGGCTTTTTTATGCCTTGAAGAACCTGCTGTTGGGGAAAAAGGAGTATTTGAGCCACCTTATCTTGTAAGTTTGCTTAAATAAACCAAACCTCAACTTGTTGATATTAAAAACTTAATGTTGAAATATTGTATGAAGCTTGTTGGTCCTTGACAGAAAACATCCACCCTCTATGGTTTCAACACTCATCCATTAAGGAGTAAAAAAAAAGAAGAAAATACATTAGAAAAGTGAGAGATCACCGCAAAACTACATGGAAGGATCACCTTGATGTGTTATGCATTAAGTCTACAGCCAACTTAAACTTAGTACACTGGACCAGATTTAAACCTAACTAAACCCTGGTATAAAAAAAGACAAATACACACAATGATCGCATTGACCTCAAGAACAACATCCGCACGATCAAGCATAGGGGTGGAAGCATTATGCTGTGGGGGTTTATATTTGTTCATTATTCTGTAAAAGGGTTTCAAGTTGGCTGAGGCCAAATTCTGCAAAAGCACATGTTATTGATAAAGACTTTGTCTGTTTGTTGCCACATTAATAACCATTGAGCAATACTTCCTTCTCAGTTCTAAACATTTTCATTAGCATCAAAGTTAGAGTTTATTTTCATCCTATGATATCTGTCAATATTCCCTGCTAGTTACTGATGCAGAAGAAAAACCTTCCCTCCTTGTTGCAAAATCTTATAAGACTGTTGTCCCCCTGCCAGGTGTCCAACTGAGCAGCCTGCTTGGACGGCACACTGATAAGACTTTTTTCTATGGTACCCTGTTGTAAATTCAACTCAGAGAGCCTCTGGATGAGGTTCTCCTTTCTTCTTTGTCTGTGGAAAACAGCAATTAGCAGGTGGATTAACATGCCACCGCTCTTTTAAAATGTAATGTCACTTGACAGGAAAAAGGCACAGACGCTTGCGGCCATCAGTGCATAAACACACAGACAGGCCCATTGTGTTCCATAATGACTTGGTGTCCCACAGCAACACCAGCTGAATGTCATTGTCTCAAGATGTCGGGCAAACCTGCTCATCAATGCATTGTGTGAAAGACGTACAGTAAGGCTGCTGGAAAGATCGCTGCCGTAAAACCAAAGAACCACAGAAATGAGTGGTTCTGGTCAGGTGGGAATTATGAAAGTGATGAAATGATTGTGGGAATATTCAGTAAGTTATCAACAAATGAAAGGATCAACAAATATTGAATATTAAAGTAAACCTGTTGAAAGGAAATGAATCCAAATCCAGAAAGCTTGTTTTCCCTAAATCCCAGCTATATTCCTTTGTCATCATTGTCCAGGTTTAACATTACATTGACCCGTGTCTCATTAACAACTCGCTGTCTTTCACCATTTTTCCTCCTACCATGGAGGCTGAGCAGCGAATTTGCCACAGGGGCGTTGAAGAGTCGGCGTGTCTTAATGGGGGACGTGAGTGGGTGGTCTGCACTCTGAGAGCCTTCTGCAGCCGCTTACCTTTCTGTAATGAGTCACTCAGCTCAGCTCAGTGATTTTTCTGCTCTTTGGTGGATTTTAAGGCCTAAAAGTGAACAATGGTGGAGAAAAAGGCAGAATGGGGCTTTTAGCTTACTCTCTTTATATTTCATATTTAAAACTTCTGTATTGAACATGAACCAGTATTCTTCTCTGTGGAAATGTTCTAATAGCTTTCAATAGCTAAATCTTTTAAAAGAAGGAAATAATTTTTTATGTTTATAATGAGAGCTTCTGAATTAAGTCAGAATAGGAGAAACAGGTATTTCTGTACCTTAGAGGTATAGAGGAAATTTTTTGAAGGAAATGTATGTAAGAATCAACCAAGTCACTTTTTGAATAGTTACAAATATACAAGAGAATCCTAAGGGGGGGGGGGGGGGGGGGGGGGGGGGGCACCTATCAAATGTGTGTTAGCGAGCGTGCAAAACCCCTGATTGACTGTTCCTTAAAGACAGTGACGTAGCAAAAATAAGATATTTGGTTTACACGCCATGTCAGATTAACTTCTAGTAAGACTTTACTAAAGTTCTCTGGCCACATAATTACTATACGTATGAAAATGTTGAAAGAAGGAACTAGTAAGGAACAAGGATAAAAAATCTCATTAACTGAGCATGTTACTAAGATTGTAAATAGGAACATTAATAGATAAGCCCATCTGATCAGTACTCTGGAGGCTCATCCACTGTACCTTTAAACAACTTTAATTATATATATATATGTTTGGAAACATCAATATTTACATAAAATAATGATAAAAAAAATCAAATGATCAAAACAATCAAATGATAATGATTCAAATATATAATTTGATAACAAAACCATTCAGTATCGAGTAAGGCTGTGAAATCAAATTGATTTAGGACCAAATTCTGTCTGACTCTCTAAATATTGTTATCAATAGCAAAATATTTTCTGTGTAAATAAAATCCTTTATTCACACAGCTACCAGAGGATGTGTAGGTGGGTGCAAGCTGCTGGCATGCATCAAGTAATGGCATAAATAGGGCAGTTAACAGGATCCACATTTCTGAAGTGGAACCAGTTGTCAATAGGTTTTCACAATTATTTCCAAGAAGCCATTATGTAACCACATATACTGTAAGAAGATGACACTTCAATTTAGTTTACTTATAAGGCGCTAATTCCCAACACGTCCTCTTAAGTCACTTTACAGACACAATACAGTTAGATTGGTTAAAAGTTTCCAGCAAGTAAAACCAGTTGATTGCATCTAGTCATCGACCTGCAAGACATGCTGCATCTGAATGAACCTTTGGCAACTGTTTTGCATTTGGATTTTGTTGTTGACTCCTCAGCAATCTGTCACATCAAGCATGCTTGTAGCGACAGTGGAGAAGAAAACTCCTTTTTAACAGGAAGAAACCTCCAGCAGAACCAGGCTTAATGTTAGCGGCCATATGCCGAAGCTGACTGGGGTTCAAGGAGACAGAAGCAGAGATACAAAAGGCAACTGTCAACCAGCTCCACAGGCGGCCCTGTCCAGGAAACACAGAGCCAGGCAGATGAGCTCTGAGCCAGCTCCCATGTCAGAGGATGAAAGAGAGCACATAGAGTTATTCACATTCAGAGAAACAGGACTACACTGAAAAGCATGCAGAGCTTTTTACTCTTTTTTACTCTTTTCCCCCAACCCCTATTTTTAACAGATTAAACAAACAAAACAAAAAAAATCAATAATAATTTATATCAACCTATATGTAAGACTTAATTAATCCAGCAAATGTATTCCTCAGCTGTAGAAATTAACTGCTTGCTTGAAAAGAGCTCCTGGATTAAAAGTGACTTTTCCTATAGAAAACAGTTTTTAGCAGGATCCTCTATATTCTGAATTTGTGATGTAAGCAGAACAAACTAGTTTGTCCAATTCAGTTCAATTTAGCTTATTTATATAGCACAAATCATGTCATCTCAAAGGCATTTACAGAAACAGTTCAATCACATCATACAGTCAGATT